TACAAAAATAAGTGCGATTAAAATGCGTTAATTTTTGTGTAATTAATTAATCTTAATTAACGCGTTAAAGTCCCGGCCCTAATAAAAACCTGTCTGAAAATGAGCTGATCAGATTTTGGCCACTTGATGATGTCATAACGATGTTTTGTCTTGTGTAACCATTAGCCAATCAGCAACCAAGATAACCCCCCCCCCTTATCACCTGAATCTCCTGTAGAGCTGCATTGAGTTCTTTGTAACCAAATGTCTCTCAGAGGGGCGTGGGGAGGGGCTCCTTATTTTCATCTAAAGTAACAGACAGAGAATCAGCACTTTGAAAACAGGGCTGAAACAGAGGGGATTATGGGTAATGCTGCAATGATCTGTTTGGTGTTTCAGCCAATCAGAGACAGGCTCTGGATATACTGATGAACAACAGTGTGATAGGGGACCTTTAAAGTCTTTAATTTGTGTAAAGCCCTTTGAATTGCCTCGTGTTGAAAGCTGCTATAAATACACTTGCCTTAATAAGCTGCCTCTCGTCTCCCAGGTCGTATCCAGCTGTGGGGTCACGCCATCGCTGTGGACTGGGCGGAGCCGGAGGTGGAGGTGGACGAAGACACGATGGCGTCCGTGAAGATCCTGTACGTCAGGAACCTGATGCTGCAGACCACCGAGGAAACCATCGAGAAGGAGTTCAACAACCTCAGACCCGGTACGAAGCAACACCAAAACACAACTCGCACTAATGCACGTTTCTCAAAGATATGAAGTGACTGTTTTTTTGCATTTATTGATTGTTGTGCTTCTATTCATGTCTTAATGTGCGCACATGTCTAAATGTGTCTTTGATTGTGTATATATAGGATATACTTATTTGCATACATATTTGGGATTGTGGGAAACGGTATTTCGATCTCTCTGTCTGTGAAAGAAAGATTGACAATAAAGTTGACTTTGACTTTTGACTTTGAACTTGTGAGCTTTGTCGTTCATGAAGTCCGAATAAAGTTCTAAACCGGATTGAATGAAATGGTTTGTTGCGCTGCAGGTGCGGTGGAGCGCGTGAAGAAGATCAGAGATTACGCCTTCGTGCATTTCACTCAGAGAGAAGACGCCATCAGCGCCATGAACGCCCTCAACGGGAAGGTAGGACTTTTGATCTGGGGCGACTGTGGCAGGCGTCTTTCTATCAGAGGGTTGTGAGTTCGATCCCAACCTTCGGCAAGAAACCTAACCCCGAGATAAAAGTTGACTTCTGAGAAAAAAGTACATTTATGAGAAAAAAGTCAAACTCTGTAAAAAAGTCTAATACTGAGAAATTCAGCAAAAAAAAAGTGATTTCTGAAAAAAGTTAAACATTTCAAATTCGGACGAAATAGTTAAAGCCCGAGAAAAAAGTTGAATTCTAATAAATAAAAATAAAAATCTTAGAAATTCTTAAAAAAGAAAATAACATTTAGAAAAAAAGTCAAACTGAGGTAAAAGTCCAACAACCAGGAAAAGATAAACTGAGCCTCAGCATAACATGAACAAACTAACTACCAAACATCTGAAAAGGACCTCACCTCGGACTCTTAACCCCCAGATGGTGGACGGCTCTCCCATCGAGGTGACTCTCGCTAAGCCTGTGGACAAAGACAGTTACGTCCGATACACCCGAGGGACGGGAGGACGGGGGGCGTCTCTGCTGCAGACGGACTACACCGCCTACACCCTGGGACAGGTAACTACTTTATTGATGATGATTCACATATCCTCAGTCATGCACCGTTTGCACAAACACAGACTGACAATGGCAACCTATTTCAAAACCTTCATGGCCAACATTTAAATGTGTATTACATCACGTGAGTGTTGAGAAGCTCGATGGAGGCAGGAACGAGTGCTCATAGCGGTTCAGCCTGATCTTGGGACCCTGAATCTTCTACCAGAGGGGAGGAGCTGGAATTCTGACACTTTATAAACGTTCCTCCAGGTGTACGACCCCTCGGCGGCGTACCTCGGGCCCCCCGTGTTCTACGCCCCCCAGGCGTACGCCACCATCCCGGGTCAGTTTCGCTTCCCGCCGGCAGCCAAAGTTCACGTTGGAGGTCGAGGTTTGATCCGGACTCCGTCTGTCAGAGGTGAGCTCTCATTCCCCCCCCGATCGAAAACAGAAGACGTTACACGGTGATCCACTGAATCAGAAGTGAAGCTTTTATGAATGAAGTATTAAATCAACAAAGATGTGATGTCATCCTTCTTCCTGTTCTCTCTGATTGAATAACGTGTGATTTTTTTCCTCCCGGTTGATTTCCCGGTGATTTGATTGATTTCACTGCCTTTTCGATCTCCTGTAGACATTTACATGACTGTACCTGTAGGGGCAGCGGGGGTGCGGGGGCTGGGGGGGCGGGGCTACCTGGCCTACGCACCCGCAGGTGTTGGGGGGGGCGGAGCCTGTTACGGACTGAAGGCGGATAAACAGGCGGAGGAGAAACTGTACGACCTGCTGCCCGGCATGGAGCTCACCCCCATGAACCCAGGGAACATGAAGGCTGCCGCCATCAAGCCCGCCACCCAGGTGAGGGCCTGGAGGGGGGTGTGTGTGTGTGTGTGTGTGTGTGTGTGTGTGTGTGTGTGTGTGTGTGTGTGTGTGTGTGTGTGTGTGTGTGTGTG